TGTGATCCTTGGGAACCTGAAGACTGTTAGGTGTTTTTGTTAAAGGTATTTATCTTCCAGAATCTAGCAAGCTGTAACAGCGTATTACAATGCACAGAATATTTAAATTAAAAGAGTACATCATTCTCTTGGAGGTGGGGGAGCTCTGTTTTTATTTTGTTTTGTTTTGTTTTGTTTTGTTTTGTGTTATGTTATGTTATGTTATTTATTTTTTAATTTTAATTCCAGCATAGTAACGTACAGTGCTACACTAGTTTCAGGGATTTATTCTGAGGGTGCAAAAACATTTCAGTATTCTCAGCATGATACAACACATTAACAAATTGTAGGACAAATCATATGGTCATTTTGACATTCGGAAAAATCATTTGAGGGGCGCCCGGGTGGCTCAGTCGGTTGAGTGTCCAACTTTAGCCCAGGTCATGATCTCACGGTTCATGGGTTCGAGCCCGGTGTCGGACTCTGTGCTGACAGCTCAGAGGCTGGGGCCTGCTTCGGATTCTGCGTCTCCCTCTCTTTCTGCCCCTCCTCCATCCCCCCTCTCAAAAATAAGTAAACATTTAAAAATGTATTTTAAAAAAGATTTGAAATAATTGAACATCATTTCATGACAAAAACTCTCAACAGAGTGGGTATAGAGGGAATACACCTCAATATAATGAAGGCCATGTATATAAAAATCCCAAAGCAACATTGTACTCAGTGGTGGAAAACGGAATGCTTTTCCCCTAAGATCAGGAACACGACCAGGAAGTCCACTCGCCTCACTTTTAGTGTTCTAGTACTGGGGGTGCCGGCTGTAGGAGGCTTCATTGTGGCCTCTTCTCTCCATTTTGTCATCGAGTTTCTTCTGTCAGTCCTCGGGTCGATTTCCAGCGTATTTCGGGTGATTTGGTGGCTACCTGGTTGTGTTCCTGGGCCAAGACAAGTGCCGCCGTCCTCCTCTCCCCGTAGTACATCATTCTTAATGTGAGGGTGACACATCTGCGGAGGGAAAGGCAGTAAGGTTCTAGGGTTAGGCACTATGGAACAGTGGTTTTTAAACTTTCTGGTCTCAGAACCCCTTTACATTTTAAAAAATTGTCAAGGATGCCAAAATGTTTTTGACATGTGTACTATATACAGATTTATTGTGTTAGAAATTAAAGCTAGGAGTTTATAAAATATATAATGTCATTTTAAAGTGGCAGTAAAAAAATCATTACATATTCACAATTTTTTTTTAATTTTTTTTTTTAACGTTTATTTATTTTTGAGACAGAGAGAGACAGAGCATGAGCAGGGGAGGGTCAGAGACAGAGGGAGACACAGAATCCGAAGCAGGCTCCAGGCTCTTGGCTCTGAGCTGTCAGCACAGAGCCCGATGCGGGGCTCGAACTCACGGACCATGAGATCGTGACCTGAGCCGAAGTCGGATGCTTAACCGACCAAGCCACCCAGGCGCCCCCACAATTTTTTTTTATCCAAAACAGCTGTCTTTGCAAAACAATTAATGAGGAGTGTGGCATTGTTTTACATTTCTGTAAATATCTTTAATGTCTGCTTAAATGGAGGCTGGCAGATTATTATCATCCTTCTGCGTTCATTCTCCTAAGGTAGGTGGTTTTAGGTAAACTCTGAAGAAAATTGGGCTCACATAACCCTGCAGTTGTCAAGGGAGGAGTATCGTGGCTGTTCTTTGATAACTGCAGTATTCAACAGACGGTAGTCACACTGTAGAATCCGAAGCCTGTATCAAAGAACTTTTCGTCTTTGTCACATTGACATCCAGAAGCTTATGTTATAATGAATTTTTATCCATGCTGGATCGTGGGACATCATTCATTGGTGACTTGGAAAATACTAGTTTTCTGTGTTGGGCAGATTCTTCCAAATGTTGAGTCATTTCGTAGGTTGTCAAAAGTCACGTTTGCTAATATCGTCACCACCACGATGCCATCAGAAGAGTCTCCGAAGTCATGGGATGCTATTGGCCGCTTCACATTCATTTTTCATAAAATGTCTACTAGACATCTAACTCTGAATGGCCATACTTTATCAGGTGGCTGTTTCAGTAAAAATGTTGTCACCTAGAAAAGCAGCTGGGTCAGCTCACAGCTCAGAATTTCAGCATTCAGCGCTGGTGTTGTTTGTGTCCTCCGCATTTTGTCACACAGAATATTAAAGATGTGTACTCACTGGTTGAGATATAATCCTTCCCATTTTGTCACAAAATATTAAAGATGTATATTCACTCGTTGACATATAATTACATTAATCATTTTTGCGGCTTTCTCAGTGACATTCTTATGTAAAAATGACTTCTCTCCCCTTCCTGGAATCCGTGGGGATAAAGAATATGATTCTTAAGTCTTGGTGCCTCTGCCTTGATTCTTGCTGCCTGTCATTGGTTTTGTACCATAAATGCGAATGCCCAACAGTGAAAAGCCAAATAGAGTATAGGCAAATACGGTATAACTGTAATATTGATCTTGAAGACACCTATAAAGGGTCTTGGTGACCCCTGGGAGTCTGCATTGGCATAGAAAGATCTCAGGTTTAAGAGGGACCTCAAAGATCATCCATTTCAACTGCTCTGATTTCCTCTACACTGGGGTTGCCAGGTGTTTACTTAGTTATGCTTAAATACTTCCAGTTCCTGTCAGTAATTGTGCTGAGTAAAAATAAGTGGCATAGACAGTTCTTTGATGGCAAGTAAGAGAAATTCTTAATCCTGGAGTTATGCTTTGTCCTGTGTTTTAAGAATTTGTGTACATTTCCACTTGTTTTCTGTAAGTAATTGAACATGATGAAACGCAGGGATTACTAAAAATTATGTTGTAAAGGACACATAGTTGTGGTTTTATTTTTCTGTTGGTGTGTTTAAGGACAGTTGTGATCTTTGATTTTCTTTGTCTCTTCTATACTGAAATGAACTTATGTTAGACACGCACTGTTATGTATGCCCATGTCTGTTTCTTGAGTAGATCACGAGCCACTTGAGAACAGGGGCTGTACATTTACAATTTTTAAATAGTCTGTAGTGCCTAAACACTATTATTCACCCGGTAGGGTCCGCATATGTGTGTGGCATTGTCTTTAATCTGTAAATAGTGTGGTAGGACACACTGGAATCTGATGAGGCTGGGAAACCAAGTATGGGTGCTTCAGTGGCCCGGCTGGGTTTGAGAAATCCCCCGGGCTTGGCGGTAGTGTCCTAAGGACTCGTGTCATTGAGGATGGACATGACTTCCGTACTGATCTCTTTTATTTAAATATTTTTCCTCGGAATGGGAGCATTTGCGTTTCTCCAAGGACATACATATGAGGGAACGCACGAGGTAATTCATGGAGATCAGAGGAGCACGCCCTCACTAACCCTGCTGACTTAGCACTCTGCTCACACTAGCCAACCTGGTGGTTCTGACACATTTGCAGCTTCAAATTGTTTTTATTTTTTAGTCTTAAATTGGTTATTGTATACCTATAATGGTCTAATACTTAAATACCTGAAGCATATGGAGCACTAAGCTGAATAAAACAAGTTAATCAGGACCATAAAATTCTCAAGATGATCCTCACCAGACCTGTAAGTTGTATTCATAGGATTAAAGTGCTTATATAGTAAGTACATCAAGATGTTGCTGATGCTTCAAAACTATTCTTCTGAAAGGAAAACTATCCTAATTATTTCTACTTTGTCATAATAAAATCATAATAAAAATTAGTCATGTTTTCAATAGATTATTTTATTTTATTTATTTTTATTTTTGAGAGACAGAGCACGAGCAGGGGAGGGGGCAGAGAGAGAGGGAGACACAGTGTCCGAAGCAGGCTCCAGGCTCCGAGCTGTCAGCACAGAGGCCGACGTGGGGCTCGAACTCAAGAACCACGAGATCATGACCTGAGCCGAAATCAGATGCTTAACCTGAGCCAGCCAGGCGCCCCTCAATAAATTATTTCTTGAGACGTGCTTACTAATATCACTATGATACCTCTAATCACTTGGTCTAAATAAAAAAGCACAAAATTATTTTTTAGGTTGATTGTTTTTCATTCAGAGTCAAGACCTGTGCATGTTATGATAATATGCTTATTTTTGAAATTATAACACATTAATTAAATTTTAGTTTAATATATTATTATACATTGAGCCCCAGAATTTTACCTGTGGTTTTTGAAAAAGTATTTGTTTATACATCATGCTTTTTTTGTTTGTTTGTAAGTAATGTAAAGCATGGAAAATGTGAGGCGGAGAAGGTTGTGGTTAGTTGTAGAGCAGTTTGAGGTGTCAGTGAAATATCAGGTATTCAAGGAACAGATAAACCGAGATTGTAGGTGGAGTAAACATAGAGAATCAGAATGATTTATACACGAGTGTGATACTCGGAGGCATGAAAAAGAATGAAATTGCTGAGGGAAAGGAGGTAGATGGACAGGACCTTGGGAAATGCTTCCGTTTGGGGTGGGTCAGAGGGAGCGACTCTGGAATTTGAGTTACCGGAAGCTGAGGGAGAGTCCGCGTTCGGTGCTGCTTAGGGTTTTGGGGCTGCGGTGTAGATTGAGAGAATCTGCTGGATTTGTTAGCAGGTGAGGTGCACTTTTTGTGAGAGATCGTGGTGGGAGCTTGCGCATCACATTCTCAGTGAGTAGTTACTGGGGTGGTTTAAGCCACAGGTAGACGGGCTGTAGAGACATTTGACATGCGAGGCCTGGTGTGATAAAGTGGCAAGAGCAGAACTGAGGGTTGGGAATAAGTCACATATTCAAGATGTAGGCATGAGGTGAAAACATGATAATGACGGAGAGGCCTGGAAGATGACAGGGTGTCTGTCGGTTGGCCGAGTTTCTGCCGTCTTCAGGTCTAATGAATGCCTTTTACCTCGAGGCACCTTTCTAGTTAGTGTCAACTTTGGTTTAACTTTGAACGTATTTAACTCACCATTTCTGTGGATTGTTTATGATACTAACGTGACGCATTTGAGCACGCAAAAGAAGCCGGCAAATAAATCGATGTCTTCTGGAAGCACATTTCATAAACGTTTGCCCCGTAAAACGCACTCTCGGGTGTAGCCAGTTGCCTTGCGTATTGTCCGTGACCGGCGGCTGGATATCCGCGCTCTGGAGACCTGATAGACCATACCTGGCACCACTTCTGTCCCCTCTGTTGAAGGACATGGGATAGAAAACCCAGCACGTCAGCATCAGGTGTGTTGTCCCCAGATAATAATAGCTCAGGCCGTGGAGAGGGAGGGGACATGTGGGTGGGAGCAGATGCCACCCCGACTTGGCTACTTCTTGCTCCTCGGGAAGTAGTATCTTTTGTAATGGCACGTGCACACTGCGTCCGACTCGGCAGAGGACACGCCAGTTACGGGTCAGATCCCCGCTGCCGGAAGCCCCTCTTTATCCTTCCCCTTGGACATGTGTCTCCCTACTCAAGGCCTGCTTAATCCACATTTAGCTCACCATGAGGGGTCAAGTTACCACGCACAATGTTGCTTAGAAACGGCTGCTATCCCACCTTTATCAGGTTTCCAGGGAAACAGTGCTAGAAGGTTAACCAGAGGTCATTTTTTTCATGCTAGAGAAAAGGTTTTGTTAACCCTTTACCTACACGAATTTATTGGCAAAATAGATGGCAGACTTACATACCACTAGCTGTAGGATCCGTGCGGTGTACCGTTTCAGAGGTACTGCGCGTTGGCAGGGACTTTCGTAACATCTGGGTCTATATGAAACTGTTTTTACGTGCCAGCAGGTGACTCCAGTAACTGTGTTCTGCTGATGGTTTCAACAAATTTAGTAAATAAAAACATCCTTCCTGGGGCGCCTGGGTGGCTCAGTCGGTTGAGTGTCCGATTTCGGCTCGGGTCATGATCTCACAGCTCGTGAGTTTGAGCCCCGCGTCGGGTTCTGTGCTGACAGCTCGGAGCCTGGAGCCTGCTTCTGCTTCTTTCTGTGTCTCCCTCTCTCTCTGCCCCTAACCCACTCGCATTCTGTCTCTGTCTCTGTCAAAAATAAATAAACATTAAAAAAATTTTTTTAAAAATAAAAACATCCTTCCTATTCGAGGCTTGCTTGTTCCAGTTCCCTTAAGAGCACAGAGGTGTGACACAGACTGGGGAGCAGAAATTACTATCAAGTTGGGTCAGGTAAGAGTAACGCGGTCTGTGAGTAGAGGTCTCTGTCTAAACCACCAATAAATATGCCAAAGCGTATTAAAAAGGGGACAGCACACTCTCAAGTGTGTACTTGAGAGCAGTTTTTATTAACCTGTCCTTAGAATTGATTTCCATTTGAGATTCCTCCAAATGGGTTGACATTTATTCTGGCTTCCACCATTTAAGATTATAAAATTGCCTTTGTTTATCACAAAGAGCTTTAGTTAAGGTGCCTTTTCAGGAATGCTTTCTGGAAAACCGTGTTTAATTCTTGTTATTTCTAACCAAAAGTGGACTCACATATGCCATTTTTCTAATGTCCAGTCTCAAATATATGTGCCCAGTACTCAGAATACAGTTATGTTTTCTTAGAAGGCTAATAATGTACATACATTATTTATTCATTTAAAAAACATTTTAGTTTGGAATATATGTAAAGTGGTGTCCTACCCAGTAGAGATAACAGTAGTGAAAAAGAGAAAAACGGTTCTTGGCTTTATAGATTTAAATTCAATATTATATGTTGAAATTAGAAATTAAAGAGGCTACTTTGAAAAAGATAATTTTTCCAAGTTTGAATAATTGAAAATTGTAACTCTTTTTTCTGTACGTTTGATATATATGTATATGTGAAATGTTCAAGTAGTTTTGGTAACAATTTTGTTTGATTTGAAAACTGAGTCAACTCCTGATTATCCACGATATAGGAACCCTTATCAAATTTCTAGATTTGCTTGGCACATTGTGATGTTGATGTTAATTTGAGCAGAACATGGTTAAGAACATAGTGGTGTAGCTAGAAACACTAGTCACAAAGGCAAATAAAGTTCATATGTCTATAGTATCTGTAAATGCTTTTCAAATTAGTTTCATTTGGTAATGCTGACCAGCCTTATATGTAGGCATTTAAAAAATTATTCCACTGAAAAGGGAATTCAGACTGGAAATAAGTGATAAACACAAGATTGTTCAGCAGCTATATGGTAGAGCAGAATTTTAGGGTCATGGAATTTTAGCCATGTGTTTTTTCCTACTAAATCACCAAATGAATGGTGTTTCAGTTACTCCTCTCTCTGATACCACTGTCACAAATGATTGGCTTTAACTATGAAAAAGACAGTAAAATTGTTCACTGAAGACATACCTTAAGTGGTATCTTATTTTCCAAATAGTGCGGTACTCTAGTATGTTGGTATTTTATATCCCAGAACTTGTTAATCCTAATCATTACACAGAATTTTTTTATTTTGATGTATAAAGTTAACAATGATGTGTTTTCACCTTTCTCCAGTACAGCGCTTGGTACACATGAAAATCCTTGACAATCATTTGTACTTAAAAAAAAATAAATAAAAGTAAGTAAACATGAGATGAAAAGTTTAAGTGGGCCAGATATGTTGTTGAGACTCGCGCACTGCGTTGAAGGGATGTGGCGTAGCCCTGTATGATCTAAGCTGTCGATAAATAGCCGTCAGAGAGGCTATTATTATGAGAGGCATTGGTTGATGAGCGATCTGGAATATTGGCTTATTTGGCTGCTCTGAAGCAGCCCCTCGCAGTTCTGGTTTTTAACAGGTCGTGACACCCAGTGCTTGGGTGCTTTTAAGCTTGAATTTTTTGTTTGACTTTCTGTATCTGCTGTTCTCTAGCTCACCATGGTGTTCATGTAATGAAACTTGCTACAGCTGGGTGGCAGTGTTGACCACAGAGAAACTTCAGGAAAATGCTGTGCTGTTGGTTTATGTTCAGAGAGAGTCATTTGAGTAAGAATTCAAATTTGAAAGTGTATGTTCAGCGAGCTAGTAAGTAAGGTATGGTTGGTGGGGTAGTGGTGAAATGTCAAATCTGTTACATCATCTAACTTGCCTTTATGGCCAATCGAATTTAATTTGGTTTTATGATTTTTTTTTCAGTGTTTAATTCAGTGAACAAAAGTGTCAAGTTTATTAGCTTATGGGCTACAGCTAATAAAAATAAATTTTTATTTTTTTTAAATAAATTATATTATTTTTTAAAATACTATTTTATTTTTTAAAAATAAAATTTTAAAAATTTTAAAAATCAGTCGTTAGCAATTATCTATGAAATATAGGAATAACTTCTTTATGGTAGTTTTGTTTGCAAGTAAAAGAGGATTTAATATTTTTTAAAACTTGGCAAATGTATAAATAGATGACTGCTACATAAGAAAGCTTACAACGTACCTCACTTTTTTTGCTTTTTTTAAGACAGTATGCATAAAGTTTTTTATTTGATAACCAAAAGATATTGACTTAAAGTGCTTTTCTTCTGTATTTTCTTTTATCAATTATAATTTTCAGAAATCTTTAAAAACATTTTTCTCCAGTAAGTCATTTTCTTCATTTTTCTCTGGTTCTCAAATAGAATTGCTCTGTCTTCGTTTCACACTTCTCCCCCAGGTGTTTATGGCCTTTCTAATACGTCATACTAATCTGGATTGACTCATGATGGGAAATTGTAGTAAGGGCTGTATAAAAGATTGTGCTTATTTCATGATACTAGCAGTCTGAAATTTCTTTTTAATCCAGTGTGAAAGAAATTATTGAACTCTTTCTAAAAAATAATGCAATGCTGGAAACTAGTAGTTAATTTAAATAAATTATTGTTTAACTGGGAAATCCTGCAGGTAAAGAAGAAAATATTTTATTCTTACCTCAGTTTGTTTAGGTACAATTTATAATGTGAAAAAGAAAATTGACAATAAGTTGTATCAGATTGATCTTGACTAATTAGAATATATTAACTGTCTCTTTAATAAAATTTGCCTTCAACCTGCCTAGCTCAGTGAAGTTGTAGGATACAAAATCAATATACGAAAATCTGTTGTTTCTTTATACTAATAATTATCAGAAAGAGAAATTAAAGAAAATGGTTTTGTTTATAACTCCATAAAAAAATAGAATACCTAGGAATAAGTTTAGTCAGGGAAGGGGAAGACCTCTACCCTGAAAACTATAAGACAAATATGAAAGAAATTGAAGAAAAGACAAATAAATGGAAACATAATTCTGTTTTCATGGATAAGAATTGTTATTATGTCCATATTACCCAAAACGGTGTACAGGTACAGTGCAATCACTACCGAAATTACAATGGCAATTTTTACAGAAATAGAACAGTGGTCTTACAATTTGTGTATGGAACCACAAAAGATCCCAACTAGCCAAAGCAATCTTGAGAAAGAAAAACAAAGCTGGAGGCATACTCCCTCATTTCTAACTATATTACAAAGCTATGTCAAAACAGTGTGGTATTGGCATAAAGACAGACACAGTGATCAGTGGTGCAAAATAGAGTCCAGAAATACACCTACACATAGATGGTCAATTAATTTACAACAGAGAAGCCAAGAATATACAATTGGGGCAAATGGTGCTGGGAAAACTGGATATCCACATGCAGAAGAATGAAACTAGGGCACTACTTTACAGCATACACAAAAATTAACTTAAAATGGATTAAAGACGTTAAGATCTGAAACCATAAAACTCCTAGAGGAAAACAAAGTAGTGAGCTCCTTGACGTTGTCTTGGCAATGATTTTTGGATCTGTGACACCAAAAGCAGAGACAACAAAAGCGAAATAACTAGGTGGGACTACATCAGACTTAAAAAGCTTCTATACAGCAAGGGAAATCAACAAAATGAAATGACTGAAGGGGAGAATATATTTGCAAAGCATATATCTGATAAGGGATTAGTATCTAAAGTATATAAAGAACTCACACAACTCAGCAACAAAACAATATGATTATGAAATAGAAGATCTAAATAGAAGTTTTTCCAGAGAAGACATACAGATGGCCAACAAGTACCTGAAAAGATGTTCAGCATCACTGATCAGGGAAATACAAATGAAAAACCACAGTGAGAAGTTACCTCACACCTGTCAGAATGGGTACTATCAAAACGACAAGAAATAAATATTGGCGAGGATGTGGAGAAAAGGAAACACTCGGGCACTGTTGGTGGGAATGTAATTTGGTGCAGCCAAGGAAAAATAGTATGGAGGGTTCCTCAAAAAATTAAAAATACAACTACCATATGATCCAGCAATTCTGCTTCTGGCTGTTTATCCAAAGAAAACAAAATCGCTGACTCAGGAAGCTATATGGACACCCATGTTCATTGCAACATTATTTACAATAGCCAAGATATGGAAACAACCTAAGTATCCATTGATGGATGAATGGATGAAGAAAATATGACATGTACACACAATGAAATATTACCAAGCCATAAAGAAGAACGAAATCTTGCCGTTTGCCACAAAACAGATGGACTTGAGAGCATTATGCTAAGTGAGATAAGTTAGAGAAAGGCAAATCTGTATGATTTCATTTATGTGTGGAACAAGAAAGAAAGAAAGAAAGAGAAAGAAAAACACCTAAACCCCAAGTTTACAGATACAGAGAACAGGTGGCTGGTTGCCAGAGGCAGGGATGGAGGAAATGGGTGAAGGGGATCAAAATGTACAAACTTCCCGTTATAACATGAATCGTTTGGGGACATTAGGTACAGCTTGGCCGCTATCATTAATACTGTAGTGCATACTCATGGGGTGCTGGGGGGGCTCGGTTGAGCGTCCAACTTCGGCTCAGGTCACGATCTTGCGGTTCGTGGGTTCAGGCCCCACGTTCAGCCTGAACGTGGGTTCAGGCTCTGTGCTGACAGCTCGGAGCCTGGAGCCTGCTTCAGATTCTGTGTCTCCCTCTTTCTCTGCCCCTCCCCTGCTCCTTCTCTGTCTCTCAAAAATAAAGATTAAAAAAAATTTTTTTTTAAATACTGTATTGCATACTTGGAAGTTGCTAAGAGAGTGGATCATAGAAGTTCTCATCACGAGAAAAAGAATTTTGCAGCCATGTTTGGTGACAGACGTTAACTAGACATACCATGATCGTTTCTCAATATAGACAAAGATCCTTACGTTGTACACTTGAAAACAATAAAATGTATGTCATTTATGCCTCAATACAAAAAAGAAATTCTCTCAACCTACCTAGCCCACTGATGGGCACACCAGAAGCTTCGGGATCATGCTCGTTGGCCTTTGGGCTCTTCGTCCTGAGGAGCTGGGAGCACAGCCATTGACTTACGCCCCTGAGCCTCCGTTGCCTCATAAAAATTTGGGAACAGGGCATTAGCTGATTTTTGTGTCAAATCAAGGAGGATGCATTAATGAAAGTCCCTGACAGTAATTAAGCACTTTTTTAGAAAAATGTATATATTTTGATGAATATTTGTATTTTGTAATCCTAGCAGGGGAAGCAGAAAGGAGACTGTTGAGACCAGAAGAAACAGGGGAATTTGAACAACGGTGGATGGAATGATGTAACCTTCCGAGGGTTCTCTTAGTGCCGTGATTTACTGTCACATGGATTTAACTTTTAAAATAATGTAAGTTGAATTACTGATTCTCTCTCTCTCTCTCTCTTTCTCTCTCTCTCTTTAGGACACTTACGGAGAGCTACAATGGAAAAATCCTGGATGCTGTGGAACTTTGTTGAAAGATGGCTAATAGCTTTGGCTTCGTGGTCTTGGGCCCTTTGCCGTATTTCTCTTTTACCTTTAATAGTGACTTTTCATCTGTATGGAGGCATTATCTTACTTTTGTTAATATTCGTGTCAATAGCAGGTATTCTGTATAAATTCCAGGATGTATTGCTTTATTTTCCAGAGCAGCCGTCTTCTTCACGCCTTTATGTTCCCATGCCCACTGGTATTCCACATGAAAACATTTTCATCAGAACCAAAGATGGAGTGCGTCTGAACCTTATTTTGATAAGATACACTGGAGACAATTCGCCCTATTCCCCGACTATAATTTATTTTCATGGGAATGCAGGCAACATAGGTCACAGGTTACCAAATGCATTGCTTATGTTGGTTAACCTCAAAGTTAATCTTTTGCTTGTTGATTATCGAGGATACGGAAAAAGCGAAGGAGAAGCGAGTGAAGAGGGACTCTACCTGGATTCTGAAGCTGTGCTAGATTACGTGATGACTAGACCTGACCTTGACAAAACAAAAATTTTTCTTTTTGGCCGTTCCTTGGGAGGAGCGGTGGCTATCCATCTGGCTTCCGAAAATTCACATCGGATTTCGGCCATTATGGTGGAGAACACGTTTTTAAGCATACCGCATATGGCCAGCACTTTATTTTCATTCTTCCCAATGCGTTACCTTCCTTTATGGTGCTACAAAAACAAATTCTTATCCTACAGAAAAATCGCTCAGTGCAGAATGCCTTCTCTTTTCATCTCTGGGCTCTCCGACCAGTTAATTCCACCAGTAATGATGAAGCAACTCTATGAACTGTCCCCGTCTCGGACTAAGAGATTAGCCATTTTTCCTGACGGGACTCATAATGATACGTGGCAGTGCCAGGGCTACTTTACTGCCCTGGAACACTTCATCCGAGAAGCAATAAAAAGCCGTTCTCCCGAAGACATGGCACAGACCTCACCCAACGTCACGATTATATGATGCTCTTCTGTTTGATTAACGCACTGTATTTTAATTTGCGCGGAACGATAAAGAATGTTCCTTTCTACAAGTGTGTTATGTCTGTACTTGTCTGAAGAGTGACATTAAACCCTGAAAGGACTTCAGTGCTCCTTTGAGACGATCCAAATAGTTTTTGACATGTGAAGAACTGTAATTCTTGGGATTATTTCATAGTTTTCATCAAACCTTTCAATGTGGTCATGTATCCGTATCTTTCATTTAATATGCCAGTATAATAGCATATTGTATTCAAAAGTTTCTTGTTGCCAAAATGGTGTGCTTCGCGTGGCACTTGGATCCGTGGCTGGGTGTGGAAGGAGATCTGCCAACGAGAAACCTTTGAGTATTATTCCTTTAGTAAGTACCGGGACAATCATGGCAAGCAAACTTAGTTCTGTAACTGCATTCTTCACCTTAAAAGTTAAAATGAAATGCATGATGGTATTTTAGTCCTTGAATTATGCAATGCATCGTTTTTACTGTAAATAGCACTGGTCATTGACCGACGTATACGGTAACCTGGGTTATATCTATTTTGATGTAAACTCTATTTTGTTTTCGGCGAGAAGTGAAATCAAGGCCTGTGTGCCGGCTGCCATTGCATTTTGCTCTGGTGAATGCTGAGATCCAGCTTTTTCTTACAAGTAAATGGGACCCCATTTTCCAATATAAATGTACCGTGTTTTGTTAGGTACAGTCTGGATCATAGCATGTAAAAATAGAAATTTAGAATTTTACTGCAGCTTTGATGTGCACATTTGAACTTTTTAACATTTGTAATTTTGGTGGCAAAGAGAATTTTAGCTTCTGTCGATTTTGTAAGTCTACAGCTCAACCACTAATAGCGATCATAATGACAATTAGAACTTGTTTAAGAAATAAATTGGCGAGGCTTATCATTACATGATTGTACAGACTATTTTACAGAAATTCCCACACTTGAGTTTTAAGTCCAGTATCTAGATATATCTAGCCCACAACAGCCAAGATATCATTTATTGGACTTTCTGAAAATAAAAGTTACAAAATCAAAAGCAAAAAACCTGTTCTTTGGTTTAATGTTTCAGTTGTTCTTATATAGAGCATTAAAAGACAGTTTCAGGAAGTTTTCTTTCTTTTTCTCCTCCACATCGGAGTGTGGGAATGAAGGAACTCAAGAAGTTTTTCTTACAGAACCTATTACCACATTTAACAATTGCGTGGCTAGAAGTGAGTAGTATTTAGACTTAGAGAAGAGTAAGAAAAAAAAAAGAGCCCCGTAAAACTTGCAGAACATACCTTAAAAAATATAAGCTATGGGGTATAATTGTGCTACGTTGTTTCAGGCTGTCCTCAAAAATTAGATGTAATTGAGCTCTGTACATTATGTCAGCTTTAACATAGAATATTTTGAATATTTAGCTATATTTATTGGCTTTGTGCAAGCGGCTAGAGCAGAGAAATCATGGGTCAATATTCTTGACCTTAATTTTAGAATCTTTCCATGGAGATAGGGCTAGAGATACTTTTGCCAAATAACATTCGTATTCACTTTATGTCAGTATTTAGAAAAAAATTCTAGCAAGTATGATTTCCTGTTTTTCTATAAATTATTGTTTAAAAGTCATGCTTTAAAAAAAAAGTTGGTAATGCATATCATGGAAGGCGTATTTTTATGTATAAATTCACCACAATTAAAGGATACTTTTCATCTTATTGGTCATTGCGATGTAGAATGACTCTCCTAAATAGTAGTGTATTCAAAAGAAAAAAGTTAATACAACAATCGTAGTGTACTTAGACATGAGCTTACTTGGTGCACCTTAGCTTGTATCATCTTTAAGGTTTGGAGTACCTTTGTATGTTTCCCTGTAACCATTTAGCGTAGTACTTGTGAAGGGGTTTATCCACTTTAGTTGTAATGAGTATTATGCTGATGAAGTATAAAAGCTTTTTCTTCATCAGTGTTTTGTTCTTATGCTGCTTTTTTTTTTTTTTTTAAGGTTTATAAACAAATTTTTTCCCCCCTCTAAAGCCAGGCTTTCAAAAGTTGCACAGTACTCGTGTATTCACCCCCACCTTCATTCTCTTCGGATTAAGGGGCATTTGTTCCTGCAGCAGAGGGAAGGGACTGTGTTTAGGGTGGTAGGACATCTTTCTTTCCTGGCTTCTGTATCTGAGATTTCCTTAGATGGGAAGAGGGCAGAAAACAAACTCTTGTGGTCAGAGGTCCATGAAGCCTGTGACATCGTTTTTTCACAACATGTCTAATTTTGTGGCCAAAGCAGTTGGTCTTAATAAAATGTGAATTCTTCATGAGTCACTCCTTCATTGGGACCCAGGTTTTAGTGGGAATAGAAGTGTGTCCACCTCGTGTATTAATTTCTGGCTCATTTTGCAAGAGCAGCTGTAATAAGAGTTTATGAATGAATTTTAAGTTTTTAAGCTACTGTAAACTTGGAAATCCTAGAATGATTTTAAATCTGTCAAGATACAATTCATTTAGAGAAAGTTCCGATATTTTAAAAGGGGATTATTGGGGCGGGGCGAGTGGGGGATGGCAAAAAGGACACTCAAAAGGAGATTGTAGAATATGGGGAGAAATAGTTTGTGATGCATAAAAGGTGCTAAATGAAGAGAAATGGCTGGAAAGGGATACGTGACGTGGTTCTTCAGTGTTGATCCAGGAAATGACAAAATGACTAACCGATAAGGTTGGGCGAAAAGGCTGCCTAACTGTGCAGAACAAAACGTTCGAATGCATGTCGCCTCTAACCAAGAAAGTGACTAGAGCACCTGACATTGCAAATACCTTGACTGTAAAATTGGCATTTTTATCAAAATGGTATTTTCAATTTTGTTACAGGGCAGCTTAAACTGATTTTTTTTTTTTTTTCATGATGAGCTGTAGACACTTGGTAATCACCCAAGTTCCAGCTTTGGTGATGTGTCAGTTGCATTGTGGTTCTCATTGAGAATTCATACCACCCGATGCATTTATATTCATTTCTTATTTTTGTAAGATTTGGTTTGAGGTGGGAATAGGTTTGTTTGGTCCAATACGGAATGAAGGCCATATTCAATTTTATATAAATTATCTCCCAATGTCAGTTTAAGAGAAATTTCATTGTTGAGTCCCTTTCTTCCTTAAGGTTAGGAAAAAATAGGGTAAACTTTTTAAAGGATGTCACAGAAGTCACTTTTAAAATTAGGTCATGATTGAGATGTATTGAACTCCTCCAGTGACCACTCCCCTCCATGTTTCCTATTAAGTTTGACAACAATTATGAAGAAAAAAAACTGTGAAAAATACTAGTTACAATGCTTTTGGATTATCCACTTAAGTTTGTGTATTTTCATATCACTCAGGTAAAGTTGGAAATGACAGAGCACAGACATCTATTTTTTAAATCAATAGGGTAGAAAATGAAAAGCACTTCTGTTTATTTATATTACCATATATGCAATCATCTTAGCTAATCAGACATAATATATTCATTTGTATAGCAAAATAAATGCATTCATCCTAATTATAGTCAACACGTTTTTGCCAAATGGTGCAAATATACCTCCATTTATATTTTGTATCTTAAAATTGTAGTTTAAAAATAGGACTATGTATAAGAGACACTTTTTACAAAAAGTGCCATATATACATATGTAACAGGGATGAGTGTGTGTTGTTTCATATAATTTATAACAATTTCTGTCAGTACAGTGAATACTGAAAATGTGTTTTCAACACATCTAGGTACATTCAGGATAAGAGAAGTTAACCCAGTCTCATGATGTAAATCATATTTTTGTTATTTGCCATATTTTATTTGAAGCAGTAATACAATTTTATAACAAATTTGAATGTTACAGTACACAGACAGTGTACTAGCCATAGCAAGCAAACATTTACATTGGGTTTTTCATTTACAATAGATTTCTTTTAGAATATACTTTCTATTTTTCTGTACTGACATATGCAATAAATTGATAACATTAAAAGTTTGATTAATGTCTTAAGATAGTTTGTATTTAGTCTCCCCCCCCCCCCCCAATTTTCTATTAGCCTAAATTATATGGTAGAACATTAAGGTTTCCTTAATGGTTAAATAAAATTTCTGAATTTGTGCGGAAATTAATGAATTTTTATTGTAGTAATGGTGTGGATGATAAGTGTAAGTTAGATTTATATTCTCTTTTTTCATATTATTCTCCCACAGACATTTAATTTAATAGTAAATGTTTTCTGTATATGAGCTGCTGGTGAATGAATAGGCCCCAAAGCATTTGATGAGTTAAATGAATCTGGGAATGAATAAATTTTAACTGTTCACAGTCCTGTTGTGTTCAGATTTCATAAGTGCCTTTTCACAAAATTCTGGTCTTTTATTTTTCTCCCATTACTATTGAGTTGATGGTTGAAGATGATTAAAAATTGCCTGATGCTCATTCAGTCTTCAAGAGTCTGTAGCTTGCTTTCCCTGACAAGAAACTCACATGCTTCAGTAGTGTCAGAACCAGTTGGATGATAGGAAATGTATTACAATTACAATACAATACAAAATGTCACAAACCTAAATGGCTGTCTGCCGGTGGAGATGAAGAGCACCTATTTGAGACCACCCTTCATGAACAGATGTAGGGGGAGATAGGATCTCCTGTAGATTTCCCTGAAAGACTGCCAACCTGAATCCCAAGAGGAAGTAGTTTTGAGATTCCTCAGTTCTTATTCTCCAAAAAAAAGTTTTCACATTCCCATTTCACTCTCCAACTCTTGTTTTACATTCTGTTGCATGCTAAAAGTCATCAACAGTTGGGTCTGTTCAGAGAAGAGACCAGTTACCTTGTTAAGGACAAGGGAGGGAAAGACATTTTTTGAATACCTACAAGTGTTCAGACCCGAGTGTAGAGCATGCTAGTGACCATTGAAGCCCCACAACAAACCTTTGAGTAATTTGCTCAGGAGTAATTTACTCTTTAGGAGCACTTCCAAAAAAATTGGCTGTCAATCAAAAATTAGAAATATTACGCAGCAAACCACACTTTCCCCAAAATATTTGTTTTTCTGTAGGAAAAGCTAGAAGTTAGCCTTGAAATACTTCTCATTCTCTTTTTTCAGCCCTTGATAGATAATAGATAACCAAAGCTCAAAAAAATAGGGGAGTTCTCTTCCTCGTGTACTGAAATAGATACTTTGGAAACTGATTCTTTTTCCAGTCCGATTTCTTTTGCATCCTTAACCACCACTGCCCTGAAATGATTTCACAGTAGGTAGGTCTTCTGTTGAATGCTTGTGACATGCCAGGGACTGTCCTGACTCCTTTTTGTTCTTTATTCCTGATCACTGACTAGTTTGTAGAACTGGTTTCCAACTTCACTGATCTCACTCCTTGATCTTTGTCCTGTTCTAACTTGCCAAAACAACACACCTTTCCCTCACAAAGGGCACTTAGTGACTGCCATCTCTCTTTAGAGTCAGACTTCTTGGTCCCTAGGGTCCTTCACAGAGTAAACCTAGCCATGTTCTAAAAGGTGGCGACTCTTTCAGGAGTCCGACTCCTTTCTCTTCTATGTAGTTGAGCATGCCAGGGGCTTTCACCTCTAAATCGAATGCCGTTTCACCTCGTTAGGCTCCCACACCCATAACCCAAATTCCTGGTAGTTCTAGGAATAGTTTCTCCTTTCTGTAGAGCAGTTGCCCTCACTACCTTTTATGGTTTGATACTTCGTTATATTCACTTCAGTTCTTTGTTACTCACTGTCTGATTTCCCTTTTGTATGTCATTCTTCTGCAATAAACCAAGATCTGACAGGCTGCAGTGTGATTTCTTTGTGTCTGACCTAGCACCTAGCACCATGCTGAGCCCTTTCTGGTGCTTAGTAGGTGTCCCATGTGGAATGTGTTCACCAAAGTTAGCCCACATTTTTCCTTCTCTAAGAACGAAGATGCACGAATATTTTGTATTTCTTTAAGGTTTAGACAAAACTTGTAAGGGAAAGGAAACACACCCACACACACATACCTAGCTGGTGATTAAAGTAGAAACATCAGAAGTTGCCCGGGTGATTAAATCACCCTTCAGAGGGGGGAGAAAAAGCAATAATTATGCAGGATGCATGCCACTTGCAGGCTGTAACTTAAGCTGAGCAGAGGAGGGAGACAAAGGTGAAAATACACTTAAAAAGAGACAAGGAGCAGGGAGGGTGGGTATGGAACAGAGAAGAGATGTGATCACTAAGCCTGGCAGTGACTAGTAGAAGTGGTATAGGGTAAGACAAGAAGGACCACAAAGCTAGCAGGCATGCTGGCAAAAAGCCAAAGAACCCCTTGTCTTGAGATTTCTACTCTGGTTGGTAGTGATTATGCCCCAGTTTTGTTATCTTCCATTATAATCATGTACCTGTAGTTCCCTATAAAATTTTTTTATTGTGATCCCTATTATTATTTTTTAAAACCAATAAGATATGCATCTCATGTGGCATATTGGTATGTTTGTGGCCTTTATTCCCGGGACATATTCCCTGGGGTATAAGTGAGTTCAAGGCTCCTCTAGAGACCATGCAAGCCTCTAAACCCAGAACAGACTGGGTTAGGGAGAGGGAAGCTCAAAATCTCTGGAGACCATTGGTAAACAATTGTAGCGGTTCTCCCATTGCCTTGGACACAGAGTTGACATCCAAGAAATACTGGGTGAATGAAAAATATCCCGTGGAAATAGCAAGTACTCCAATTACAATGATATTGATGGAAAATGGATGTAAATACCTCTGCGCTCCAGAAACATCTGCAAGAGCAGGCCTCAAAAGGCTGCACTACGCATTACAGGGTTCATCTAAGTATTGAAGTTAGGGTGATTATGAAGGTCATGGGGCCAGTGTAAGTGACGTTTTCATCATTGAAACAGAGAAAGGTTAGCTTGCGTGACATACTGTGTTTACCAGAATACCAAGTAGTTGGGGTAGGTGGCTAATAATGCTTTACACTGTCTTGCCATTAAAAGAAATAGAAATTCTTGAGGGGCAATTTAAACATTTTCATATACTCTTGATGAATTGTAAGTTCTAGACCATCGTCCTACAGGTCCTACTAGAACTGTCCCATGAAGACCAGTTTTCTCGGGTCGACCTCATATTTGGCATATGTATATTGCATATCTTAATTATTTGTCTTTAATTTTTCAAGGGGGAGCTAATCCAAAATACAAACCATTTGTGTTCTAATAGCGTCATGTGTTTCCCTTATTTGAATGATTGTTGCTTAGAGCCTAAAATTTAAGAAAATAGATATTTTAAAAAATTTTTTTAACGTTCATTTATTTTTGAGACAGAGACAGAGCGTGAACGGGGGAAGGTCAGAGAGAGGGAGACACAGAATCAGAAACAGGCTCCAGGCTCCGAGCTGTCAGCACAGAGCCCGACGCGGGGCTCGAACTCACGGACCGCGAGATCATGACCTGAGCCGAAGTCGGCCGCTCAACCGACTGAGCCACCCAGGCGCCCCAAGAAAATAGATATTAATGGGGAGTAACTCACTGCCCTTTAATTCTTATTGTTAGTAGAACTGGAGGAGAAGAAAGGACGAGGGGCCAATCTACCTGAGAAATAGGTCATTTTAGCGAATGGTGTTCTTATCTCATCCTGAGCTTTGGGAGAATGCAAAGGAGTGATGATCCTGGCATGTGAAAAAAGTGCAGGCCTAGATTATAATAGGGCACAGAAAATAGCCCTCTTTTTTACTTCCCTCAAGATTAAAGAGCCCTGTGGCATCTTGTTGGATTCCGCTTTCCTGCTTAAACTTCTCACTTCTTCCTCTGGAGACATTAGTCTTTCAATTCTCGTCCCACCCCCACTTGTTCATTCTCTACCCACCCTTTCATTATGTCATTCTTGTTGTTTTCAACAATCCAAAGCTTACAGAAAAGGTAAAGGTAAGGTAAAAACTTTTAAGGAAGCATTTGAAAGTAAATTCCCAAGGGAATGCCCCATCCTCTCTGAATACTTCAACATGTTTTTAGTGAACATTCTCCTGCATGTGTACTGGTAATGCAACCTATAAAACCAGGAAACTAACACAAGTCCGTTACTACACCTACTTCTCAGATCTCATTCATACTTGGCCAGTTATTCCAATATCATTTGTGGGAAAAGGGTCTCCTTATTGAGTGTAGGTGCAGAACCCCTCAACAGAATACTGTTAAACCGAATCCAGCAAAATAGAAAAAGATTACGGACCCTGATCAAGACCATGTGATCCTTATCATAGGAATGTAAGATTGGTTTAGAACCTGAGTTAATGCTATACATTAGTCAGCTTGGGCTGCTTCAACAGAATACCACAGACTGGTGGTTTAAACAACAGACATTTATTTTCTCACAGTTCTGGAAGGTAGAGGTTCATGATCAAGGAGCCAGCAAATTTGATTTCTGGAAAGAGCTCTCTTACTGGCTTGTAGATGGTCTTCTTGATGTGTCCTACATGGCCTTTCGTCTGTGAGTTGATGTAAAGAGATCTCTTCCTTTTCTTATGAGGATCCCAGCTATCAAGTTAGGGTACCACGATTATGACCATATTTAACTTTATCCCTTTAAAGGCCATATCTCCCAAAGCAGTCACACTGAGGGTTAGGGCTTCAACATAGGAATTTCTGGAGGACACAATTCAGTCCCTGATACCATATGAACAGGGAAAAGCACTTGACAACATCCAACACACTTTCTTCATGAAAAACACTCAACAAACTAGGAATTGAAGGAAAATTAAGCTCATAATGAACATTTATAAAATGCAGCTAACATTGTATTTTAAGGTAAAAGACTGAAAGCCTTCCTCCTTAAGATCAGGAACAAGACAAGGATAGATACTCTTGCCACTTCTATTCAACATTATACTGGAGGTTCTGTGCAGAGCGATTAGGTGAGAAAATAAAAAGTATCCAGATCAGAAGGGAAGAAGTAAAACTATACTTGTAGGTGAAATGATTTGTATATAGAAAATCCTAAGGAGTCCACTAAAATCAGAAGTAATAAATGAGTTCATTGAGGTTTCAGGATTCAAGATTAAGGTGCACAAATATTTATATCTATGTACCATTAATAAATAGCCCAAACATGACAGTGTTGTGGGTTGAATTGTGCACCCCCCCAAACGGATTTTTGACAAAAGTGCCAAGACAGTTCATTATAGAAAGGACAATCTTTTCAACAGATGGTGATGCGTCAACTGGATGTTCACATGCAAATGAATAATTTGGATTCCTACACCACACCGTACAAAAAGTAACTCCAAATGGAACAAAGACCTAGAAGAAAATGTAGCCACAATCTTTGTGACCTTGGTTACATTAGGCAATGGTTTCTTAGGTATGACACCAAAACAAGCAGCAAAAGAGAAAAAAAAATAGGTAAATTGAGCTTGCTAAAAATTTTTTAAAATGTGCCTCCAAGAACATTATCAAAATAACCTACACAATGACAGAAAATATGTAGGCATCACATATCTGATAAGGGACTTGTTTCTAGAATATGCAAACATTACAACACAACAATATAAACACAACCCAATTTAAAAATGGACAAAAGGATTTGAATACATTGTCCAAAGAAGATACACACATGGCCAATAAGCACGTAAAAAGATACTCAGTGTCATTAGTAATAAGGGCAGTGTGAATCAAAACCACAATGAGATAGCGCTTCACACCCACAAGGATGGATATAATCAAAAAGAAAACAATAAGTGTCAGCGAGAATGTGGAGAAAGTTTCAACACTTACATTGCTTGTGGTTATGTAAGAGGGAGGAGACGTTTTGGAAAACAGTCTAGCAGTTCATATAATGTTAAAAATGGAGTTAACATATGACCCAGGACTTCTACTCTTGGGTATATATCCAAGAGAACTGAAAATCTGGTCACAAAAAACTTGATTGTGCACAATTATTCATAGCAGCATTATTCATAATAGCAAAAAAAGTGGAACCAATCCAAATGTCCATTAAGTAATGGTGGAATAAACAAAATGTCGTGTGCCCATACATGAATGTAATGTTAGTCTGCAATAAAAAGAAATGAAATACTACTAGATGCTATAACATGAATGAACCTTGAAAACATTATACAAAGTGAAAGAAGCCAGTCACAAAAGACTGTGTATAGCTGGCCCTTGGACAACACAGGTTTGAACTGCACAGACCCACTTACACACGGATCTTTTAAATAGAAATACAGTATGTATTTTTCTCTTATGATTTTCTTAACACCTAGTTTCCTCTAGCTTTATTATAAGCATACGGTGTATAATACATATACAAAGTATACTTCAGTCAACTGTTATTGGTAAGGCTTTTGGTCAGCAGTAGGCTATCAGTAGTTAAGTTTTGGGGGAGTCACAAGTTATATATGCATTTACAGCTGTGTGGGGGTTCAGCCCCCTAACTTCCGTTGTTCAACGTTCAACTGTACCATATGATTCCATTCATTTGCAGTGTCCAAAATGGGTGCCTCTGTTGAGACAAAAAAGATGAATGGCTGTCTAAAAGAGGCACTGAGGGGAAATGGGGAGTGACTACTGATGGATACAGAGTTTCTTTTCGGGGTGATGAAAATGTTCTGAAATAGATATTATCTACCTGTATTCACTATATGAAAATGCTTCACCTTTAAACCCGTGAAGAGCGTTGCAGGTAAATTACATCTCAATAAAGCTGTTATAATAGGTGAGACCATTTAGGAATATCCTAAGTAAAAAAAAAAAAAAAAAAAAACTTGGATTCAAATGATGGTGTTGGATCTGTATAAAAGTGGCTGGATTCAAG